TGTTACATAATCAACCAATGCCCATGTTTAGGCTCACTAGGAGTCTGGTCATGAGAGGCCCCATCATGATGTGTGTAGCTCCCACGAAAGATGAAGGTCACTAGAGAACAGCTAGCCTGCTAGGTATGCAAGTGCAGGGTGGATCTCCTGTGAAGCACACTGGCCCATCTACAGACCCCACCCTGATGTCTGTGAGTCCCATGGGCAGGGTACCCTTCTCTTCTCTTTGCTCCAGCAATCCTACCCCTTTAGCATCATTAACTCAGGCCTCTGCTTCCCCCCGACCCCAGAGCCTTCTATCCCACTTTATTAAGACCCCCATTCCCAGGCACTTGAAACATTCAACTAGGGTGTGCATGGGAAATTATGACCTTATTTTCAAGTTAGAGAGAATTGCTTATACCACACACAGTCATGCCCGTCAGCTTTCCTCCTCCTGCTACAACAATTGTAAGTGAAGTATGATTGTTGAATGGTGCCCAGCTCAAGGCCATCTCCCCCATGCAGGCCCCCATGTCGGCAGGGATGAAGAGAGGAAGTCTAAGTAGAAATCCCTTTGGGATCCCTTTGACAACTGAGTGGTGGTGGAACAATTAAGAAATGACCCTAGGGGCTTGGAGAGATGGCTCAGCAGTTAGGAGCTCTGTTCTTGCAGAAGACAATCCCAGCACCCACATGGCAGCTAACAACCACCCGTAACTCCAGTTCCAGGGGACTCTACACCCTCTTCTGTCCTCTGCAGGCACTGTACAACAATGACATGGGTGCACTCACACACATGCAGACATAACAGTCATACACACATAAAAATAAATCAAAGGGATGACTCTGCCCAAGCTCCCAGATCCTTAATCAACCAAGAAGCTATTTTCCCAAAGGGGGATCACTGAGGAACATTCTGGAAAATACCTCTTGTTAAGTGCTCAGACTCAGTGAGGTGTCCCTAACAGCTGAGCTCCAGGAACTGTTGCCACTCATAGAAGGCAGGATAGGCTGAGATTCTTCCTAGGCATTTCCTCCATGATGGAGGAAGGGCTCCTGCCAGTGGCCCAGCCTCTCCCAGAGTGGACAGGGCGGCCAGAATCAAGAGGAAGGAGGAATTCTTCCTGGGCCATGGGTTGCTCTGCACAGTCTCCTGTTTAGGCCATGGGGGTGGGGCTATGAAGAGACACCCCAAGCTTGGAGATGAACCCCACTTGGCCCAAACTCCTCTCAGCCCTGTGATGCAGTAGCCATCTTTGGAGCAAGGCCATGTCCTATGGTCTGTTCATGAAGGGGCTTCAGGCTAGCCTTGGGGTTGGGGTACAGGGATACATCGTTCCCTCTAGCCTGTTGGCCTCTGTCACCCCACCTGTGTTCCCAGCCCTACTGGAAATAGAAGTACCAATGCTTGGCAATTCTTTGATGAAGAAATAAAGGAAGTGAGGGTACTAGGGGGTACCTCAAGTGTCAGAGCAGATTCTTTTTCTTTTTTTAAAGACGGGCCTCACTCTGTAGCCCAGGCTAGCCTTGAATCCTCTTACCTCAGCATCCTGGGTGCTTAGATTATAGACAGCACCAGAGTAGATTCTTTACTGAAGAGGCAGTGGACTTGAGTTGGGAAAGGATAGCTGTTTTGGAAGAAAGAATGTCTGACGTAGGGTTGGCAGGGTCACTTGCTTCTTGGGACAAACAGTGGCTCCTGTGTCTGCTGGTGGAGTCAGCAGGGCTAGAGAGCTAGATCTCGCCTCCCCCAGAACTGTGGGCAGCCACAGGTATGGACTGGATGGTTTGTCCACTGGTATGAGCTTGGTGGGCTGAGCTCAGAGCCTCCACAGGCAAAGCGAAGTTTTGGAACCACTGGCTTTCCTATAAAGACCCCCTCATGGAGACAGTGCCCGTGATAACCTGGGCTTGGGTGGACTGAGAATGGGGTTGAGGAAGGTGGCCTGTTGTCTATCGTGTTGCACCAGGAAGCTGAAGACTCCCCAGGAGACACTGGCTTTGACTTTCCAAGGCTAAGCAACATCCAATGTGGGCAGGGATAAAGGAGGGAAAATCAGAGACAAAAGAGGAGAAGAGGACAGGGAAACAGGACAAGGGACACCTGGAGCCTTCCCACAAACCTCCCCGAATCAAAACAAGATGTTGGTCACTGGCTTACAGACAGCGAATCAGTCAAATTACACAAGTCCCAAGTCTCAGCTCCATGCGGCACATTGCGGGTACACCAATATTGATCCAGACAGGGAATAAGAAATATCCATCATTACATTAAAAAAAAACTGTCCCAGCTGAGTCACATCATGCATTACCTTCATATCCACTAGGCATATGAATCTGGAAGATAATGAGGGGTAAGTTCTTTTGTCCTGAAATAGTCCCTGAGCAGTGTGACCATACCACAGGGGCTGTCACTTTTATAGCTGTGATCTCACGTCCTGAGGTTTGAGCCAGTGACATACAGCAATCACAGCACTTTACAATCTGGATATATGTTTATGACCAGGGCAGGCACCATGGGCTTGCAACCTGTGCAGTCCCAGGGCCCTATTGAGGGGGGGTTGCTTGGTTTAACACCGTGGTGCTGCCTCTCTGAAATTCTTTTTTTTTTTGAGACAGGGTCTCCCTGTAGCCCCAGCTGGCCTGGAACTTGCTATGTAGGCCAGGCTGGCCTTGAACTCACAGAGATCCACCTGCCTCTGCCTCCCAAGTGCTGGAATTAAAGGCGTGCATCACCACGCCTGGCTATCTCTGAATTCTTAATGACGGTCTGGCCCAAGAGGCCCTGCATGCTCCTATGGCATAGGACCCTGCAAGCTATTAAGGCCTTTCCTATGCGTTATCTCCCTAGTCCCCCACAGCCAGGGGAGAGAAGAGCTGAAAGGAATCATCGCCCTGAGTCACAGATGGTGAAACGTACTGGGGAGGGGGAGTGATGATGCCAAGATAGGCTGGGATCTCACAGGTATAGCTGGGGTCTTGTAAGGAACAGTGGGCTCTTGTGAGACCCCGGCTCCTTTCCCTTTCCAAGTTCTTTCTCAATCAATGCATGTAACATTCTCTGCTCCTGCCCCAGCACTGACCTCCATTCTATGTCTTTTTAAATCTCATTTCATTAAAAAATGTTAGTCATCTACTCACCTGCCATCCAGGAGCTCCTGGGTGTTGGGCTCCCTCGTTCGCTTTTCCTCTCCCATCCACCGTCTTATCCAGGCGCCTCAGAGCAGGCACATGTGTCCCCAGCTAACACATACAAGCTTCCACTCTGTCCCAGAGAGCTACAGCCAAGTACTCTGTCCTCTACAAAAGCCTCCCTGGGAAACATTCCTGACCTTCAGACCCGCTGGCCCCATTCCTGTAACAGGCACTTCCTGTCTGGGTATTTACCTTACTGGGTGCCGTGAGCCCAGCCGGGGTGATGGCCACACACCTGCCCAGGAGCCTTGTAGGAGGAGAGGTGCTACCGAGGTGAAGGCCGGGCATGGCTAGAATAGCCCCTGAGTATAAGGTCGTGACCAGCAGACCCAAAGCCCCCTCCCCACCAACCCAGCCAACCTGCTCCCTCAAGTCTGAGATTGGGAAAAGGTTTGTGATCCTTTGGGGTTCTTGTTGTGTGTGTGTGTGTGTGTGTGTGTGTATGTGTGTGTACACAGCAAGCCTCCTCCTCACCCCCTCATCTGCCTGCCTCCACCTCCCAGCACTGGGATTACAGGTGCGCACTACCATGCTAGGCTTTTTAAAACTAAATTTAATTAATTAATTTTTATTTTTTGTGTGTGAGCGTATTGCCTGTGAATGCAATGCTGGCAGAGGCCAGAAGATGGTGTTGGATCCCCTAGAACTAGAGTTACAGATGGTTGTTAGCTGCCCTAGGAGTGCTGGGAACTGAACCAGGGTCCTCTGTAAGAGCAGTCAGTGCTATTAACTGCTCAGCCATCCCTTTGGTCCCCACTCTAGGCTTTTTATGTGGGTGCTGCAGATCTGAACTCTGGTCCCCACACTAGGTTTTTTATGTGGGTGCTGCAGATCTGAACTCTGGTCCCTACATAGGCTTTTTATGTGCAAATCTGATTATGGGTAGATCTGAACTCAGGTCCTCACACTAGGCTTTTTATGTGGGTGCTGCAGATCTGAACTCTGGTCCCCACACTAGGCTTTCTATGTGCAGATCTGAACTCAGGTCCTCATGCTTGTGCAGCAAGCACTGTACCAACCGAGCCATTTCCCCTGTCCCTCTAGTCACTTCCTGATGTGGCCACCCAGGCTCAGCTTGGCAGCTTCCAGTCAGGGGACTCCAGGACATTGCTCTGCGAGGGGTCTTGATCCATTATTACTATGACAATTTTTATCAGAGACAGCTTCTTTCAGTGTGGTGTTTACCACACAACAGGCACTGAACTAAGCATGTTGCATAACCTCCCTGCATAACCCTGTGCTCTCGGCAGAGTAGAGAATTAGGCCTTTTTAAAGGCACATAGGCTTATAGAAGTCAATAATCTTGTCCAAAGCCACACAGCTAGTAAGCTGGTCCAGGACCCAAATCCAGACCAGTTGATACCAAAATGTTGGCTTTTATCCACCAACCTCCTTTGCTAATTTTAATGATCACAATGCTCGTCTTTATGTAAACCTCAAGCGAGCTATTGTTTTTGTAACCGGCTACTGGTAACAAATTAACCCAACATGAACTGCCATGAAGCACAGCACACTTGTAATCTGGGTTTCTGTGGCCAGGAATCCAGGCAGGGCCTGGCTGCATTCTCTGTTCAGGGTTTGTTGGCTGCTGGAGTCGAGGTGACTGTGGGCCGTGGTTACCTGTCAAGGCTGCACGGAGAAGGCTCCTTTCCCAGCCTCATGAGGTTGGTGGCTAGACTAGGTTCCTCCTTGGGGGATACTGGACTGAGGTGACTGTTCTGTTTGTTTGCCAGTCTTCCCTGGCAGTATACTCTATCAGATAGCGTAGCCAGTTCCAGCTAGCCTAGCTTACTCCAGGGATCATCTGTCTTTGAGTGCTGGGATTACAGGCCATGACTGCCTAGCTTTTATGTGAGTTCTGGATATCTGAACTCTAGTCCTCCCACTTGTGTGGCCAACACTTTATCAACTGAACCATCTTCCCAGCCCCGCGGTCTTCTGTGATCTGCTCATGGAAGAGGCATTAAATGGTATCCCATCACTTTGCCATGTTCTGCTTATTAGAAGGAAGTCATGCACAAGGGCCTGAGTGCATGAAGTGGGGATCACATCAGAAAGTGTCCTAGGATGGACATTTGATTGCCACAAAGTGTTGGTTTTAGTTTTGCCACTGAAAGGCAGATGGAAGTAGTCTCTCATCCACCTGTCCAATGTCTGCCCATCCATCCATCCACCCATCCATCCACCCATCCATCCACCCATCCATTCATCCATCCATCCACCCATCCATCCACCCATCCATCCACCCATCCATCCATCCATCCATCCACCCATCCATCCACCCATCCATCCACCCATCCATCCACCCATCCATCCACCCATCCATCCACCCATCCATCCACCCATCCATCCACCCATCCATCCACCCATCCATCCACCCATCCATCCACCCATCCATCCACCCATCCATCCACCCATCCATCCACCCATCCATCCACCCATCCATCCACCCATCCATCCACCCATCCATCCACCATCCAGCCATCCATCTCATCCACCCATCCACCCATCCATCCAGCCAGCCATCTAGCCAGCCATCCCATCCATCCGTCCACCCATCCACCCATCCATCCACCCATCCACCCATCCATCCACCCATCCATCCACCCATCCATCCTAGCCATTCCACTCCTGAGCTTAGGGTTTTATACTTTTACTCTCAATTACATTTCTAATCATTTGTACACCCCCAAAAGAAAAAACTATAACCTAGCCATTCCACTCCTGGGCATGTGCCCAAAGGCCTACAGATCCACCACAGACATTTGCACATCCACATTTATCTCTGTCTTATTTTCAATAGAAAGGAAATGGAACTAGCTTAGATGCCTATCAGCAGACGAATGGATAATGAAGGTGTGGCACATATAAAATGGAATATTATTCAGCTATAAGGAAAAAATGAAATATTTTTTAAGAAAAATTAATGGACTTGGAAAGTATAGTACTAAGCAAAGTAACCCAAACTCAGAAAAAAACACATACAAATACATGTTCTTCCTCATATGTGGCTTCTAGCCTATAATTTATACATGTATGTAGGTAAACAGCTGTTAAATGTAGCTATAGGATAAAATTTAGAAACTAGACCAAGGGGGGAGTAACACTAAGTGTTGAGGAAGGGCAGAATACAGGCAAAAGGACACATGTCATGAAGAGGATGGAAAGCTGTTTCTTCCCAGTTTCTACCCCATCCATTCCTTCATTCATTCCTTGAACAAACATTTAGACAGTCCCTACATTAGGCTTAGAAAATGCCAGAATAAAGATAATTATTCCTCTTCCCCATCATCATTCCCTGTCACCAAAGGCATCCAGTGGAGGCTTCACATAGGCAGGGGTTGGGAGGTGCCACTGGATGCTCTGTCCTGCAGGAGGCTCGGCTCTCTCTCCCTTCACTGGTCCTCAGGTGCCACAGTTCTGAGACCTTTGTCCCTGTTCCCTCTCTTCGCCGTTTCACTCACTTGAAAAATGTATTTTGAGTTCCTTCTAAACACAGAGTCATGGTAGCTGGCATGTGTGCTGGTATGCATGTGAGTGTGCATGTGTGTGTGTGCGTGCGTGTGTGTAAGGTTAGAGCTGGGGTTTGTGGTTCTTTCTCTTGTTTGTGATTTCTTCCCTTTCGCTCCAGAGACAGGACTCTCAGGCTTTTGTAGACAGAGCCCAGCTCAGAGTGCTGCCTTCTGTCACATACTGTTGTAGGGCCTGGTTCAAGGGACAGCAAGACATAGTTTCCTACTCGTGTTGGGCAGGGCCAGCAAGGGGCACCGGCTCGGTGGATAAAGTGCTTACCCTGCAACAATTAGGACTTGAGTTTAGAACTCTTGTAAAGCTGGACATGGCAGCATGAGTCTGTAATGCTAGCATTCTTACAGTGAGATGGGCGGCAGAGACAAGAGACTCTGCTAGCTTGAGAGTTAGCTAGCCTGGAGTATGCAGTGGTGAACAATTGGAGACCCACTGAGCCATCTCCCCTGCCCATTTATTTGTTTTAAATGGTTGATCATGAGGGCACCGGAATCCAAAGCTCTGGGGCTGGACACAGCAGGGAGCTTGAAGAGGGTTCATAGAGCAGAAGAAAATGTCCGAGACTTCAGGAGCTAGAGCTGTCTACAAGAGGGGCTGGAGAGATGGATCAGTGGTTAAGAACACTGACTGCTCTCGCATAGGACCCAGGTTGGATTCCTAGCATCCACATGGTGGCTAACGACCACCCATAACTCCAGTTCCAGGGGAATCCGATGTCCTCTTCTGACCTCGGTGGGCATCACCCAACATGGGTGCACTTACATGTAGGCAATACACTTATGTGCAAAACATAAAAATAATAAATAAAATGTTATTTTAAAAAAAGAAATTGAGAAAGATGTTTAAGAATCTCTGAACTCTTAAATATAGGTAGAGGCATCTATGGGGAGCTCTCTACAACCCAGAACAGTAGAGGGAACAATTTGCTCATCACACTTGAGAGACAATTCCCACTGAAGATGAGCTCGCACACAAAATCTGCAAACACTTGAGACTTCCTGAGAAGAATAAACAATTGAAAAGTTGGCAAACAAGGAAATAGAAACAATAGGAGAATGGAAAACACATATTTTAAAAGCAGATGTGTGAAATTCTTACCTTCGTGGGATTCCCAGAGTGTGACAATTTGTCAGATAGTAACAACTGAGCAAGCTAGACATCCACATATATGTGAGCTTGGCGGAGAAAAACCATTTATATGTGCAAAAGGTACATGTATTGCTGGGTTTGCCGTAAAACAACGCCACAGGTTAGCATCTTTCAGCAACAGAAATTTATTGTCGTATGGTCATGGGTCATGGAGGCTCAAAGTCCAAGATTAAGATGGCAGTGAGTTTGGTTGCTTCGAAGGCCAGCCTCTTCCTTGGACCTGAATTTCAAGATTGACATGTCAGCAGGCTTGGTTCTTGGCTTGCAGATGGCTGGACTCTGTATCTTTGTGTGAGTGATTCTCCCTCTGTGTGTTCCCAGATCTGTGGGTAATATCCTCTACTTAAAAGGGCATCATTCATACTGAGCTAGAGCTTACTCCGTGACTT